CTTCCGATCATATATATAAATATATAAATATATATTTACTTTATTTACTTGGAGTATTTATCAGAAAAACAATATTAACATTTTAAGAGACTTAACAAGAATTGCCATGAATTATGGGGGGTGGGACAAGATTCAGATGGCATGGCTGAGTCAGATAAACTGTGTTTCTCAAAACAACTTAATAAAATAATAATAGCAGCTTGTGCTCTAAACTATCAGTACAGCATTAAGACAGTAGACACTTCCTGTAGTTTGGAACTCATGGGGCTTACACTCTCGGAGCACCATAGCTTTTGTCAGTCCAAGGTAGGTGAGATTAAGGAGATAAACATCATTTACCTCAGGCAAAGAGACCACTTCAATCTCTAGGTATTTTAATACAGAATGTCCACAGACTCGCTTCCTACTCAACTAGCAAGAAAGTTCATACATCCCTTGCTCTTCTTTGTTTGTGACAGTATTTATCCTAATTTTTTTCTCAAGGATATACACTGCAATTCTGGCCTCCCACATAATGACTAAGGAAGCATTTCTCTTAAGACTATTATATTTTAGCTATTTTCTGAATCTCTAAATAACTTTATTTTCCTATCACAAAATATTTTCATGAGGAAAAAGAACACGTTCCCATTTAAAATACCAAATAACAACCGCATTATGAACAGCCCCGAAATGCCTCTGTGTTACCATGACACAAATATTGAATGAAAATTTATCACGGGTAGATCACTAACACGTGCATATAAATATTGATTAAACAGTTTCAAGACCATACAGTCTAAATAGTTACGAGCACACACCCTGGAGCCAGTCTGTGAGGGTTCAAGTCCTTGTTCAGTCACTTACCAGCCCTGTGGCCTGACTGAATTTCTCTGTGGCTCTTTCCTCCTCACGTGTAAAATGGGGGTAGTAACAGTGCCGATCTCAGAGGGGTGATACAGAGAATAAACAGGCACATTAACAGGTGCTGAATAAATGTTAGCTATTACAACTATTACTAAAGATAAAGAAATAAATGTTCAGACAGATTTTATGATTTGCCCAAAGCTGCACAACTTATAATTACTCAGTAAGAAAGAAGGAAGATAAATCCAGTTCTTTCTTGTTTCAAAATAACCCGACAGTAAATTAAGTAATTATAGGAAAGAGGAACGGTGTTTCATCATGTAAACCTGAGTGTATGGATTTTTTAAAGACGAAGGCAGCCTGCGCCTGTTTTCCAATCCCCAAGCCCACTCCCCTCCTCCCAGCTCGGGCAAGTGACTTGACTTCCACTTTGTGAGCAAGCCCACTCCTAACGGCTCACAAGGCTTCCTACACTACTGTCCCTCCCCCGAAGCTGTGAGCTCCTTAAGAGGTGGACCTTCAGCAGGGGTGAAGCTCAATAAATGCTGAATGACCAACTGGGTGACCAAAGTTAGGTGGCCAGAAATACATTCATGTATACAGGAGGATATGCCCATGTTTAATTTTGATTTCAGACATTCTATTAGCACAATTTGAAATACTGAAGTACAAGTTAAAAAATAGTCTTAAATATTTTCCAAAATATAAAGATAAAATGTAGCATTACGTGTATCTTTACAAGCTATATTATCCGTGTAGCTAGTGTAACAGTAATATAACAGGAACAGTAAACAGATGGATGCTATCAAATCGGCTGGGAGGGAATTCCCTGGTGGTCCAGTGGTTAGAACTCTGCACTTTCACCACCGAGGGCCTGGGGTTCGATCCCTGATCCGGGGACTAAGATCCCATGAGGCGCGTGGTGCAGCCAAAATAGACAGATAGATAGATAGATAGATAATCAGTTGTCTCATACTTTCTCTCATTTAAAAAATAAATAAATTGGCTGGGAATATTACAACACATTGAAGATAACATCTTGAAAGACAATCAGTACAGTGGAGAGGGAGTTATAAGACTGTTTACTACCTAACTCCAGTTATGACTAACGTGCTTGCTTTTCCTGGTCTATGAGACAAGACTATCCTGCTATGTCCTGAAGACTCTCAGAAGGAGCTACAGTTTTTCACAGTTAATTTGCACACACACCCAAACTATGTTATTCAGATCATTTCTCTTAATGTTACTTTTGACTCAGGCTGAAAGAGTCCTCACTGGCCCTAAACTAGGAGATCCAGCCCCAGATAAAAGAAGATGAGCTAAGGCTTACCACAAAAGTATGGTTAGATGGGGATCATCTTTGGTTCCTCTGACACATCAGTGCTGATTCTGAGGAGACCTCTCCCCATGCATCCCAGCAAAATCCTACTCTCGCCTTCAGTCTTAGCTCCACCTCCACCCCCTCCGTCAGATCCCATCAGCCTCCTTCCCACTCCCGGTTCG